GCCACCCTAACAGATGACGTCACCACCTTATCTATTGGAATAGCCTTGTTGGCTTCTCCATACTCTTTGCCTTTTTCCACTTGGAAGTCAGACGACTTCCTAAAAATGTTATCACTTTGTGCTTAAAATTCTACTGCAGCTTCTCAAAAAATCCTCTTAAACTAAATTTGGCTGAGGATACTTCCATACTTTCACTCCTACTTAACAAACTGAAAACCTAACTTACATCAGGTGCAAATGAAACTGGGGATAAAAGGCTAACTGTGGTGCTTATTAGTACAAAGGACATGCTGGTCTCCAGGCTATCTCAGCATAGTAAGTCCCTGTCACAGGATCCTTGCTGGCATCCTGGCTCCTCTCAGCTCTTCTCACCACACCCTGCTACCCTAAACTTCTCCAGTTCATGGATTTCCCTTCCCTAAACTTCTCATTCCTATGTAACCGTGCCACCAGCCACATGCTCTCTTGGTCTATCCATGTTTTTCTACCCCACCCCACCCCACCTCTTTCTTGCTTCTTTTTTGCTCTCTCCTTTCATGGCCTGGTACAGTTCACTGGTCATATCTAGTCTACTATCTTCTAGATGGTTGTGAGATAATTTAACAGCTGAGACCTGGTGAGCCATAGGAATCTGGAATTTCTAGCCACCTATTCACAAGTGTAGGTGGCCTAGAGACATGCAACTTGTAGCTGGCATCTGAAATGGACACGTTAGGCACTGCCTTTGTACCTGATAACAACTCTGCTGACTATGAGTGGTCAGAGTAAGAGTTCAGCTCCACAAAAGGGAGTTTCACCTGCCCTAATTGTTAGAAAAGAAAACTATATCTTGGCAATGATAGAAAAACTGCTGTCCTACACATCCCAGCTAATAATTCCTGCTCACTCTTAAGCATCAGCCATTTATACCCGTGCCTCATGAAAAGGTGGGAGGTGGGTTCCAAGCACAAGGTTCTCTTTGTTAACTCCTAAGGAACTTGATCATGCTCCTACTCTTCCCAGCTGGTTCTCTTTACTGCACATGGAGCTTACACAAACCATGGTGCTAAGGGTAGAGAGGGTCTGAAAGCACTGGGTATGAAGGAAATTCTTACCTAGGACACTTAAAGACTTCTAAAACCTGAATCACAAAGTAACATTTTCCCCAAAGGGCCTTTCCTTGCCATTCCAGAATAAAGACTCTCACTTTTATAAAGTTAAAGAAGTCATAATGGTAGAATTTGAAAAAAACAAAGGTATTGCCTGTGCTATATTTCAAAACCACGGTTACTTACTTGGCCTTAGCAAATTACATCTGCAATGCATTGTATAGAGTCCTTCAAACCAATCTGGAACACAAATGAGTGTCTCCCCCTAGATCAAGTAAGCATTACAGCAATCATTTTGTTATCAGTTGCTTTCTTAGTCAAGGAAGTAAGGACATAATTTTCTCTAAATGGTGAAGCTTTGTAAGCTTGTTGGAATCTGTACTTATTGGCATTTGCCTGGAAGACAACAGCAGCTGCTTACTTTTTTGCATAACAGATTACAGATCTAACTTTTCAGCCTACAGCATTTATAGTTTCATTAGTTTATGGTGACCTTTCAGTATAAATTTGCATAGTACAGAGCTGTTTTCTTTCCACTTATCTCATTGAAAACTTAATGTTTCTTTTATGACAAAAGGCTTTAGCATTTTCCTTTGTAATTTTGAAAATATTAATTTTCCTTATTAAGCATCGATTATGGTCAGCACAAATTAGGCTCTAAGGATTATTATTTTTTGTAAAGAAGACAAGAAAATGGTAGGGGGATGAGAGGATGTGGGTGGAATTAGGTGAGAGCAGGAATAGAGGGAGAATATGATCAAAATATACAGGATGAAACTCTTAAAAATATATTTAAAATGTGAACTTACTAGAACATATGTAACTTGTATTACAGCTCTACTGAAGAGAGCCAAACCCATGCAAAGAAAACTCATTCTCCACGCCACTGTGCTGGTCCAGTGAAAACTCATTCTTTCTCCACGCCACTGTGCTGGTCCAGTGAAAAACTAGTCTTAGATAATCAGGCTCCAAACTATCTGCTGTGAAACTTGGATATATGTTTCCTTCCAACTATCTATAGTACCAATTGGAGCGGTGGTTCTCAACCTTCCTAGTGCTGTGACACTTAAATGAGCATCACCCCTAGAGGGTTTCTCAATAGTTTATTTTAGTAAATAGCGCTTTATAAGTGGGTGTGTCACTTACAGATTACCTTCCTATGCAATCTGAAACCTGTCATCAAGTCATACTTCTTCTATTTCCTATATTTCTGGAATCTTCCTTTTGCTGACCCTACTGGCTAAGCCAAGCCATAATTATGTTCCCTTTTACCAACGACCCCAGATTTTGTTATAGTATGCCCTATCCCAGATAAAAACTTTGCTCATTGTTCCTTTCCGACAGAACACCATACTACGTAATGACACAGACAGCTTTCCTTATTCATTGTAACAACTCTACTTCAATCATTTAAAGTACAAACTACTACCTTACAGTTTCCTACTTAATAAGGAGCTAGATCACAGGAATGATGATTCCATTAGCATTTGAGACATGGAAAAACATCTGTCCTTGTGTATATACATCAGTGCATATGTACTAAGTACTAGAATTCTAGAAAGGGGATCAGGAGGAGGGGGGAAGGCAGGGGGTGCTTGGGGGCCACATGCCCTAAACTCTTATCTCTAATAAATTTACCACGCCAGAACTCAAATTGAAGCCTTTCTTTAGTTCTATGTGGTCTGGATGAGGAAGGAATCCCTAAACAATCCCCTAGCCCTGCATCAACCTGATGTCCAACATCTCCCATCTCAAGAGTATCTATTGTTTCACAATGACTCAGTGGAAAATAGCTAAGGTCTATAAAGAACAATTACAGTAACATAAATTACTTCTAAAAGCAAGCCATTCTCCTACTACATGATGACTGTTCCCCAGTCTTCTTTCATTAGGGATTATCAGCTACCATCCTACCTAAGATAGCCTTCACCATTCCCTAGTCCATCCAAATTACTTCTAAAAGCAAGCCATTCTCCTACTACATGATGACTGTTCCCCAGTCTTCTTTCATTAGGGATTATCAGCTACCATCCTACCTAAGATAGCCTTCACCATTCCCTAGTCCATCACTAGTCTGAAGGTGGAGAGGGCCATGGACTAAACCATAACAGGATCTCAATTAACAAGCAAATTACAGTTGCTCTTTTGGAAGCTTAAAAACAGAACTTCCATACCTATTGATGGTGTTTAATGAATTCCAGATCTAGGGTAAAGAAGAACTTTTAAAGACTTCTCCAATGTATGTTTTACAAAAGAACATGTAGACACAAAGGTGAAAACTAGCCCTGGGTTTTTATTCATCTTTTATCAACTGGTTCTACAAAAAGTGAGGCAGGAGTAGAATGTACACAGATGGGACAAGCATAAGGATGTGTGGTTGAGACTAGGCAGGTCAGGTTAGCTACAGGTCCAAGAACACTTAATGGGATTATACTTGGATAACTGACTTTAAAAACAGTTTTATTTAGAAGGAGGCCAGGTATGGCAGTGCACATCTTTAATCCAAGCACTCTTAGAAGGTAAATGCAAGTGGAGCTATCTCTGTGAGTTCAGGGCCTGCATGGTCTATATAGTAAGTTCCAGGATAGCCAGGGCTGTTATGCCGAAAAAGAAAAAAAAGGAAAAAAAAAGTTATAAAAAGGACATTTTATAGGGACTGAGAAGAATGGTCAGTGTTTAACATGAACAACCAAGTTCAATTCCCAGCATTCTGTAAAAAGACAGGCAAGGTAGTGTAAAACTGAAATTCTAGCACATGAGATCCCTGGTGCCCAGCCTAACCTAATTGGTGAACCTCAGGTCCCAGTAGTGGGTCATCTTAAAACACAAGGTGGACAGAGAACAGAGACACCCCAGTACTCCTCCATCCCTTTTCCCTCTCCTCACTGGTTCCTTTCTTTCTCATAAATAATTCTCCTTCTGCTCTAATATCATGTGTGTGCGCGCATGAGCACATGTGACTATTATATATATGAACACAGATTCCACATGAAAAAAAAAGCATGTGATATTTGGCGTCTCCTCTCTTGTTTTCCTGTCAGTATCATATGATGACTTTTTTCCATAATACAATTCAATGCTCCTATGAATTCAGCAAAAAGACTTGGTTCTCTAATAGGAGCAAGCACTGAGGTAAAACGAAACAGTAATACACTTAGAAAAAACAAACAGGAGACAGACTGACCTCAGTCTTTCTGTCACTTTAGACAAATTCCAAGTCTCTCAACACCATGCATTTTCAACTAAGGTTTATTTGCCCAAAGTGAGGAAACATGGCTCCTTCTCCAGCACCATGTCTGCTTGCACACTACCATGAAGACAATAGACTAAACCTCTGAAACTATAAGCCAACCCCAATTACATGTTTCACTTTATAAAAGTTGCCGTGTTCATGGTCTCTTCACAGCAATAGAAACTCTAAAACAGAGAGTATATGGAAGTTCTTTTTTGTATAAAGCATAAATCAAAAACATTATTTATGTGGTGTTAGCATTTCATGGGGCTGACACTGAACAGTATCTACAAAGGTTTGCAGGGACCAAGAGTGATCAACTTTCCCAGGCCTTCATTTCCTTAGACATAAATGGTCAACATCATGAACCTTAAAGAGAACAGTTATACAAGCATGGCTCTGCTACCTGAGTACTGGGATGACAGGTGTTAATACCAAGCCCAACTATTCACAGTTGCTAACATATACAAAGTGACTGGGACTGGAAATAAAGCAAACAAGATGAATAATCAAACTGTAAAGACAAAGCTTCAAGTACATACAGGTTAGTCATCCACTACTGACCAACTGGATCAGTAACCATCTTACCACTAAACACCTAACCTCCAAAGAGAAAATAATTATACAGTGAAAACCAAAGAATGAACACAATGAGCCATAAACGTGGCAAAAATACAAACCTAAAACGCCAATTTCAAGACCAGCCAGGCCTGTCTTAATTTTATCATAAATATCATCCAATGTAAAGTCAACAGCAATGGTCCTTGTTTCCACTTTGAATTTTTCTTCTGAAAGAAAAAAAAGGGACAAGTGATGAGAAAACAGGAAAATTAATACATGGCAATTATTATTAAATCACTGGATAAAGTTATCCTTTCAAGCCCCCCAATTTGATATGACATTTAGAGCAGGATAATTTTAAGCAATCATAAGACAATCTAAACAATGATAGGAAGTCAACAAAACAATAGTTCATCAATTAAAAGTCCCAGCATCATCAATGGGCTGCCTTGGTGTGCTTTGTCAATTCTTCTCTTGTAAATCAATAATGGTAACTAGTTTTTCATACTCAGACAAAAATAACAAAACAGGATTCATATCATAGTATTATATACTCCTTAAATATCACTTCCTTTGTGATTTTAATTGCAAATTGATGCCTCTAATCTCAGGATTAAGTCTTTATGTTATAAAGTACCCTTTAAAAAAGGTAATTTTTTTTTATGTACACTGGTGTTTTGTATGCATGTATGTCTGTGTAAGGGTATCAGATTCCCTGGAACTGGAGTTATAGACAGTTATGAGCTGCCATGTGGGTGCTGGGAATTGAATCTGGGTCCTCTGGGAGAGCAGACAGTGCTCTTAACTGTTAAACTACTTCCCCAGCTCTGCTGTAAAGTATCTTAAAGTGTGATACATTAACGAAAAAGTTCATCTTAGTAAGAGGAGTGTGATCTTACTGGGTTTTTGGATTGGTAAGTCACCACATTTAAAGAGCAACAAGGCTGGACGTTGGTGGCACATGCCTTTAATCCCAGCACTTGGAAGGCAGAGGCAGGTGGATCTCTGTGAGTTCAAAGCCAGCCTGGTCTACAAAGTGAGTTCCAGGACAGGCTCCAAAAGCTACAGAGAAACCCTATTTTGATAAACCAATAAGCAAGCAAACAAACAAACAAATAAAATTTTAAAAATTCCTGCTTCCAAAAATAAACCTCTCTTCAGTGGAAGTTAATGAGCTCATCATGTAATTTTCATGATGAATACTCATAGGAAGTGCCCATTCTTGATTCAAAGAATTTGTGGCTAAAACCAACACTGACAGATTTGATTTTTAGTTAGACTCAATGAAAAATATTGACCTTATATAGAAATCCATGTATAACCTGGAGAGAAGAATTAAACAAGAGATACCTTTCATGATGTTAAAGGTAAACACACTGTTCCTATGTAGCCAGTAAGGTATGTGTTCATGCATTGGAGGATGAACTGTCAGTTATTACTGGGCCAATTATGTCTTACTAGAAAGTGCCTCAAAGAACTTCCCTCTCTACTTAACACTCACTTTAAAACAGTCAAAGATTAACACGGAAAAACAAGCACCCAAAACAAACAACTAAAGGCTGCATTGTATTCAATGTAAAACTTTATTCAAGAATAAATACTTAACAGCATTTGATTTTGAAAGCAGTGAATTTTCCCCCACATAACCACTGAGTACTAAGCAAATGTCTCTAGAAACAAAAGCCCCAACATACCACTCAGTCAAATTCACCCTGAATATCACAGATTTGTTGAAGGCACTTGCATTAGTGTACATTACTGGATACACATGATGCTAAAATCTATTTGATGGACTTTTGGAAAGAAGTCTCTGGAGTGAAGAACTCCATTAAGACTTGTTTGCATTCACACTGGAACAGGCAACTTGACTCCTGCTGCAAGTTTTTCAAGATAATTAAAAAGTTTTGAACTTACTCCTGGGTAACCTCAAATAATGCTCTGGTCCAGAAAACTACTTCTTTTCCTGCCTCGACCACAGGCCTCCACCTCCTCTTCTTTCCAAACTGCTACACATATCCACCTTTCTTGTGGCAAGAACAGAAGTCCTTGCAAGTAGCCTGCTACTTCTCTTGCTCATCTCCAGCAGTTCTTCCTACTACTCCCCAGTTCTAGCACAGGGCTCTTCATAGTCCCTTGAGCACGTGTTCTAAATACACTCAGGGCAAATTGCAGCTCCTTTTCCTTCTGTCTGGAATGTTCTTCTAAATTCATTGTCTCTGTTGGGTCCTTGAGAAAGTATTCCCTTCTCAGAGAAGCCTGGCCTGCCCAGCTTTTGAAACACAACCACCCTTCCTTTAGCATCACCGACACCTTCCCTCCCGAAAAAGTATGTATTTGCTTGTCTATATGTCCCCAGTAGAACTGAGTTCTACTAGATAATAACTAGGCTCTATTTTAACTTATGTGATCACAGATTTCCCCACTGTGTTCTCATCTACTTACTTCACTCTCTTTCTTGATTTAATGAGGGCCATTCTCAGCATCACATGCTGATGACCATGTCCAGTGGAAGAAGATGGACATTTCTGTGCTAAATCCCTTTCACTGATAGGAATACCTTCCCAGAAGAATCCTGAAGACATCTATTACATTTCCTTTCTGAGGATCATGTTCTTGACCAGTTATTTTCTAGGACACAATTGGTGTACTCTTCCCCAGGGAAGACTATTTCTCCTACTCTCGGAATTTCTTAGTTGACTGTAGTTCTTTGTGTAGTATTGAGGCCTTGTGGAATTCACCCTAACCACTTTGGCATGTCTATTGCTGTTGTCCTTGTTCAGCTTCTGTTTAGGTAGTCATGTTGGTAAGCCCTTATGAGTAGCTTCTGATATTATTAGTAGACACAATCTCAAAGAAAACTCCCTTATCCTCTGACTCTTACAATCTTTTCACACCCCTCTTCCACAATGCCCCCTGAGCTTAGGTACAGGAGTTTGTTTTTGTCTCTTTGTTTGTTTATAGAATATCCACTGGGAGGACGTGGTTAGCTTTTTAAGAAACTAAGGAAGTAATTCCCAACTTTGCTTCTGACCCCATAAGCAAGACAAAGTAATAGGGAAGAATTATCTAACTTTACACAGCACAAGGGTAGAGTAAGCACCATGAACAGAAACACCTACCACTGTATTCCTACAAAGCATAAGTAACCCTAAATGCCATCTTTACTTCACTATGTCCCCAACCCAAAATTTTCCTCAGACCACCCAGCAGTCCTCATCCAGTTCAGCAGAAGTCACCTGCTGGAGAAGATAAGTCTAGTTGGGCCCTGTCCCTTCTGACCCTACAGAGACCCAAGGAATAACACAGCTTTTGTCAAACATCTAATAGTAGGAGCTATTACAGAATAAAATCAATAGGAATAGTCAAGTAGGATAATATACAACAGAATTTGGCAATTGTTGTGGGCATGGGATGGGCCATGTCAGTTGCTTCAACAAGGAAATTCTTGTCCCAACCACAGTAGCAGTTCAGGCAGCAGACAGTCCCTGTGGGATTGCCTGGCCCAAGATCTTATCTTTCTGATGGGTCCACATACAAGGAATGATCATGAATGGATTGTAAAGCCCCTGGATAGCTGTACCTTCCAGGCTTCTTAAATTAGAGCTAGGAAACAGATGAGTATCATGATACTAGTCACCTGTTACCTTTTCTTTCCTTTCATAATAGCCTGCTTTTAGTTAGTTGTAAAAGCTTCAAGACAGGTTTTAACATTTTCAGTTAGACAAATCTCCTTGGTTGGTCTTCTCTTCCAAAAACTTCTTGCTTATCCTCATTTGTTTAGTTTTAGTTTTTATTATGTTTGCATTAAGCTTTCAATTAATTTTTCAAAGAATAACTGTGTGGCATTCTCTTTAAACTTTTCATTTATTTAAGGGGAAATCTTGTCATTGCAGATTCTTAAGAATTTAAAATTTCCATTGGGGAGGCTGGAAGATAGCTCAAAGAGTACTACGAGGCAGCAGTCACTGATGACCTTTAAGTACAAGTGCTCTGATGCTGCAACCATCCTATGGCCTGTTAAGTATGGGTACTCTGATGCTACAGCCATCTTAGTACTGGTACTCTAATGTTGCAGCCATCCCATGACATTAAGTATGGGTACTCTGATGGTGCAGCCAGGTTGTTGTTTCAGAGTATTTCAGAGTATCACGAGTCTGAGATCAAGTCTGGAACTGAATCTACCATATCCTGAAGATGCTGGTGAAATAGTTTTCATATAAAAACTAACACATTTTGGTTCAAATGCATGAAGCTCATAAACAGTGAGAAAAGTCTTAATGTTACAGCATTCTAGTCTGTGCATTGTTACTTTCATTTCGTCCAACAAACTGATAAATTCTGAACTTGCATCTCCTTTGTCTAATAACTTTATATACTTTCGAAAGATTTCTTTCAAATCTCTCCCCCAAGTAGCTGGGGATATTAAGTATGAAAATACTAGAAAACATGTCTAACTTACATAAACTTATGTATTTGTAAGTTTTCTGTCAATAAAACTAAAAGAACATACTTCCTCTCCATGGTCCCTAACTCTGCGCCAATACATCTGCTTTCCCTAGTATGTTTCAGGGTCCATCCATGGTGACTATTCTTAGTTGTCAACTTGACTACATATGGAATTAACAAAAACCCCAATGACTGGGCACACCTGTGAAGTGGGAAGACTCACTTCTAATCTGGATCTCTGTGGTGAAAAGATCCCCCTTTAATCTGGGCCACACCTTCTACAGGCAGCTTATATAAAGGACATGGAAGAAGAAATCTTGGTCTCTCTTTACCAGCTTGCTCTTGCTCTCACTAGCAGATCCATGCCTTCACTGGCATTAGAGCCTACTTCTTTAGGATTCAAGCATATACTGAAGACCAGGTGACACGTCCAGCTTTGAAGACTGAACAAAAACTGGATTCTTGCTAGACAATCATTGTGGGACTAGCTAGACCACAGCCTGTATAAATTCCCTTCATAATGCGCTCGTGTGCGTGTGTGCATGCATGCGTACATGTGTGAAGAGGGATCCCGAGCCACACCAAGTATTCAGGGAAGTAAAGTTGTATGATACATTATTAGAGAGAAGTCACTTACATGAGAAGCCGAGAACTGAGTTCAACACTCTGCTTGTCTCCAACCTTGACCACAAGCCCAAGAGAGCCTGACCCTTCCTTTCTTGACCTTTATATCTGCCTCTCACCCACGTACCTGTGGCCATGCCTAAACGGGTATGGTCAG